CATACGAGGCATGCTAGATGTCTGATATAATGGTACTTTGATAGAATATAGGCTCACATCATACTTAATTTGAAATGAAGTTTCAGGATTTGAAAAAGTTTGATGGTAAACTTGCACAGAGAGCATCCATCATAATGTCCTATCGTCATCCTGAAGTAGTAGACAATGATGAAAACGCATAAATTACGACCACACTACAATATACTGGTTGATGCCTTATGCGTGTACCTGTTTGGACAATTTATCCTCTAATCTACTTTTCGTATCCTAATATATAATCCAAGTCTTATGACAAATTCCAACCATAAATAGGTCTAACACCAGATTTTAAGCATTTTCAGGTCTAACTATGAAGTAAACCTGTAATCTAGAAATTCCTACAAACTGAACATTCATACCGCAGTACTATCACATGGTCCAACTCAAAGAATCATTCTACCATAAAGCAGTCAGATTGCTACAAGTGTACTTGAAAAGGATTTTACCAATCTTTTTGCATTAGAAATTTGTCATATCTATAAACATACAAAATCACTCCCAGAGGTTCGGCATAAAACAAGTTAATATGGGTATGCAACAAAGAAGGAGCAAATTCATAGGAATCATACTTCATTGCAAAAAATGTACATGTCTTGGATCAAAAAATTTGATCCAACAACAATAAATAAATATGTACACAGATGAAATACACCAAACTTCAAAAGAAGATTTAAAAACACTCAGAAGCCATAAACAGACTTGTAGAACCCTAACTTGAAGAAAATTAAAGTACCAACCAAATCCAAATCGCATGCCATCATCGCCACAACAATCAAACATCAAAGGAACAGAACCCTAACCTAATGAACAAAACAAAATTGAAAAATAGATCGAGAAGGAAACTCACAATCAGTAAATTAGTTGAATTTGAGCAGGGAGCAAGAATCCAAACCCTTCTTCTCCTAGGCGGATCAAAGAGCGAAATAGAGAAGAAGAATCAACGGCAGAAGGGTTTTCACGCTGGAAAAGAAAGAGGTTTTTTTTTTGGGTTCGGTTGGCCTATTTAAAGGGGCAAAAACGGAGAATTATAATTGACAGCTTCTTCCCAATCTCAAACGCTACTTGAGATAGCTTTTCAAAAGCTACTTGCAAAAGCCACAATCTCCAAAATAATCTCCTCTTATTTTTTGTCACCAAACAGCTCTACTAGCTTATTGATCAACTCAATAAGCCACAAGCTCTTAGATAAGCCACTTTTTTTGGTTGCCAAACAGGGCCTAAATCTATATAATCAATAAGCTTGGGTTCATCCCTTCCGAAAAAGATGGATAAATAAGTTAGAGTGGGAGTGAATAAAAATTATTGTATTTGAATTTGACAAAAGAATATAAACGTGACGAAAACCCTATTAATTAAGTTCAACAAATCATATTCAATGATCTTTTTGTTGCGCGTCGTGCGGAAGCGTGCTCGACAACCAAACGAGTCCGCGAGCGATGAGAAAAGAAAACCAAACCAAATATGAGTGCAATTCTCCAAAATACGACACAAATCAAACCAAACACAGAGATTTACATGGTTCGACAATTGCCTACGTCCACGGGGAGTGGATGGGGAGATTTCATTATATGGAGGAGAAATACAACGGGTTACAACTCACAAAATCACCCAAATATAACCCTAACCAAATATCTCAACTCCCTCACAATATCTCCCTCTCAAGTGCTCAAAACAATCCAAAAAACTCTCCTCAGGAAACCCTAAAAACGTGTTTGTATTTATATCGAACACCCAATCCAAAACCAACCAGGAAAACAAAAACAGGTCCATAACCGTTTGGCGATCGACCGAACAGATGCGACCGGTCGACCGACCAGAGGGCTTAAAAACAGCCCTGTAACGTGCACGTTTTCGGTCGACCGGACATACCCGTTCAGTCGATCGACCAAACCCGTTCGGTCGACTGACCAGAGACGGGTTTCAAATCCTGTACTCGTGTTTTTGCACGATTTTCTCAAATCCTTCGCTATTTTATACACTTTTATCACAGTCTTTATTTTTCTTAAGGGGACGTTTAGTACGTTTCCAAAAAGAACCTAAAAAGGAAATCAGTCAAGAAACCTTAAGAAAAAGATTTCAAGTGGTTTTCTTCTTAAAAGCCTTGAAATGAATTTCTTTTAAGTTAAAATTGCATCAATCAGCAGGTGGGAGCCACCTCACTTGTTTTTTTATGGTTTTAAAGCAAGAAATTTTTGTGAAAATGGTTGGAAATTTTTTTCGATGTCACATGAACTTAAAAAAAAAAGACCCCAAAATTCAAACTTTTCTCATAATTTTTTTAGCGAATCAAACAACCCATAAAGATAAGAAGATAAGAAGATGGGTGTGGAAAACAGTCAAATGTACTTATCCTTCATTGAGTAACCGCATGTACTTATCCCTTAAACAAGTCAAATACAAAACTTAGACAACACCAAGAACTCTCTAGATTAAATGACACAAGAAACCTCATAATAATAAGCACAAAAAAAATTCCAAGGCCAGAAGTATGAGACGCTAGAAAACAAAGAGAAGAGACGTGGTGACGATGCGCTTTTAGGCGTGGAGAAAGCTCGACCACAGCGCGCATGTGTCCTCCACGCGCATCTTTTTAAATCGAGGCCCTTTTCACACTGAGACATTAAAACTACTGGCCAGATATTTTCTGGATTCATTCCAAATTCTTGTTCGGCTCGTCTTTATCATCATTTCTCGCCACAATTTTGTCGCTCGGACTCCTTTTTTTTTTTTTTCTTCCTTCAACGGATCAAGACCACCTTAAATTAGGAAAGCCTGATGGGTTTAAGTTTGAGTCTTTTAATTGCAATCATTTTCGGAAAATTTCCAAACGTGCACCACTTGAATTGGTCCGTGGCACATATTTTCTTTCCTTTTTCCATAGACATCATGTGAACGGAAAATGATTTAAGGACCCAAAATATGGGACCAAATGATGTGACATGTGATGTGTCCCCTCCCTATTACATAATGAGTTGGCCATACCAACTCATTATGTAATAGGGAGGGGACACCTCACCTGTCCCCTCCATTGGTCCCATATTTTGGGTCCCCGTAGCAGCACTCCATGTGAACACTATTAAGAGCAGTGATTACGAAATTCACGTGATTTGGGAGTGTTGTAACCTTCTTATGTTGGAATAAAGACCATTGTCTGCGTTGAGTTGAGTCAAGTCTTTCTTGTTAAGATTTTGGTTATATACCCTTCAACTCATGGGTGGGTGCAAAATACCTTTCAATTTTTAGTATTTTCAAAACTATCCCTCAAACTGTCAACTTTGTGAAAAACCACTGGAAATAACAACTCATCAACTTGGTGCTGAAAATTTAATTATTTTGTTAATTATTTTTACGTCGAGGTTACAAATTAGCTTATCGAAGTTGGTGACTAATTGTTTTGAGGGTAAATTTTTTTTCTTCAAAATTGATGATTTGATGGGTATTTTGCAAATACTGAGATTTAGAGGTACTTTTATAAATACTAATGATTTTAAGGGGTATGTATGCAAATAACTCAAATAAACTTAAGAGGAGAATTAATGATGGGAAAGGTAGAAATGTATAATAATAATAAAATAATTGTAGGAATTTTCTTTTAAGTACTTGCCACCAAATATAGTGCATTTGGCCAGTCAATAATGATGCTCACGTGTTATGATATTTGCCAAAATGTACTAAGGCTACAAAAACTCATTGATGAAATTTGTACTGAAACATATATAAGACATGAGTTCAAAGACGCGGATCTCATGCTCCTCTGTATAAAGCTCATTGAATTCTCAATTTGAATGCAGAGACTATCCTCAAGCAAGGAAAGGGACCATTTGCATCCAAATTACGTGGAAATTCTGCAATCAATACATATAGAAATAAATTTTAGAAATATTTTATATAAGTTGAGATGCCACCACTTGAAGGATCCAAATTAATTTTTTCATGGAAGTTGCTCCTAAGTTTTGGTAACAGTAGAATTATTTCTTTCGAGAGTGTTACCCTTTTCTTATGTGAACAAAAAAAGGATCATCAAATTCTTGATGAAAACTGAGAAGTTTGTCAATTAAGAAAACATATTTTCCAAAAAAAAAAAAACTATATACTACAATATTTTAAGGAAATGCTATGTTATCTTATATTACTAAAACATTATACAATAATTTAAAAGTTAGCAATAGGGTGGTTGTTAACGGACAATTAGTTGAAGATGAAAAGTTTCTTCTAAAGCATCTCAATTGTTGGATAATACTATTTGTTGATTTATATGTAACCAATTACGTACAAAAGCGTTGTCTCCCATATTGTCTCTTAAATCTTTCATATCTTGAAATTAGTCTCTTAAATCATTGAAGTCGCTATTTACTCACTTGATTCCTCCAAGTTTTTTCCATTATTTTGCAACAACTTTATATAGGGAAATATTCCATTTAACAAATGACTTTTTGCATGGTTTTTTCCTATATACTCTTGTAATTAAGTTAGATCCAATCCCAAAAGTCTTAAATTTAGAGCCGTGTAAACTCCAAACCCATTTAAATCCAACGACTATTCTTTTCTTCTTTTCTCATTGATTATTTCTCCTCTAATAATTTGAAGCAACTGATGTAGAATCGGTAGGAATGTAATGAATTGAAGGGCTAATTGCAAAACATGGCAGATTTAAGGGACCACTAACAAAAGAAAAAACACAAAACTTTACACCTGCTCAAAAAGACAAAAAACCCCACCACGCACAAAAGTTAGCGAAAATCCAAAATTTGCCAGCTATCAAAGAAACCACCCCCCAATCTCGGACGATATTGCAAGATTCTGCCCCAATACTGACCCCGCCAAATATCCAGAAACCACGAGGCCAGCACACGCCTTATCCACCCAATCAATCCCAACCATCCACGTGTCGAAATCTCCACCCTCCACCCTCCCCCGGAAACCCTATATCAATCCCCTCTCAGCCTCTCGGTTCTCCTGCAACCCTCTCTCTCCCTCTCTCTCTCTCTTCCCTTCTGTTTTTGCTCTCACAAAATGCTTCTCAAAGCTCCGGCGTCTTCCCTCTCCCTGATCCTCTCTCCTCAGCGCCATGAGAGCTCGATGGTCTCGAGCTTTCCCTCTTCGTTGAGAGTTGGGAGGTGGAGAGATGGTGGGTCCCCTTTTGTGGCCATGGCGGCGGCTAACAACAGCGCGCTCACTGGGGTTGTGTTTGAGCCCTTCAAGGAGCTGGAGAGTGATTTGAGCATAGTTCCTACTTCCCCTCATGAGTCGTTGGCTCGTCAGAGGTTCGTGGATGAGTGCGAGGCCGCGATCAATGCTCAGATCAAGTGGGTTTTCCTTTTATCTCGATTTTTTTAGGGGTTTTTGGTTGATTTTTGAGTTATTGTTTGGTGGGTTTTGTTGGTTTGTTAGTTTTGTGGGTAATTTTAATAATGGGTTGTTTAATTATTGTGTATATTTGAATATATATTTTTTGTTGGGGGTTAGTGTAAGGGGTTATTGGGTTGAGGATCTTCTCGTTATTTTTAGGATTTTTTTTTTTTTTGGGTTGGGTTAATAATTATCCTCTTTTTGGAGTGATTTGTAACATAGGTTTGGGGTTTAGCTATAATTTCAATTCAATTCAGTTGGTAAATCTTGGTATGAGTTTTTTCTTGTTTTTAATTTAAAGGTTATTTTGCCGTTGTGTCTCAAAAAGGAGGGATCCTTGATTTCTTTGTTAGACTCTTTTATCTTTTTGTTCTTATTCAGCTTGGTTATCTATTGTTATCAAGTGTTTCTTTTGCTGACTGATCCATGAATTTTTCTTTGGTTATGAACTCCAGTGTTGAGTACAATGTTTCTTACGTCTACCATGCCATGTTCGCCTACTTCGACCGTGACAATGTTGCGCTCAGAGGCCTGGCCAAGTAAATTCTCTAATCTAAGATTGCTCTGCAATCTCTATTTTCTATTTTGTCCATTTGATTAGAACATGTTTGGTTCTATTGAGCTCAGATTTTTCAAGGAATCCAGCGAAGAAGAGCGAGATCACGCAGAGAAACTAATGGAGTACCAGGTGCAAACTGTGTTCTGTTTGATTTATTTGTGTATATATGACTGTCTTGGCACTTTAATTACTAAAAATTTTGATGAAATTAGAACAAACGTGGAGGCAGAGTGAAGCTTCTGTCGATAATGACGCCCAATACTGAGTATGATAACCCTGAGAAAGGAGATGCACTGTATGGTATGTTATATACTGATCTCTATTTGTATGAATCTTGTTTGATTATATCTCTACTGTATGTCGCTCTTTTCTAAGTTCTGGTAATATATCTGCAGCAATGGAGCTGGCTCTATCTCTTGAGAAAATTACAAATGAGAAGCTCCTCAATTTACACACTGTAAGTTTTCTTGATGATTGATAGTCTTTTATCGTGTTAATTATCGTGTACCAGTTTTCTTGATGGTTGGACTCCGTTGATCTTGTGTTATGTACAAATGAGCAGGTAGCAGGTCAATGCAAGGATCCTCAGCTTACAGATTTTGTGGAGAGTGAATTCCTTGGAGAGCAGGTGAATGCTTTATCTTGATTGTGAATTAGTGGGATTTGATTTGTGCAATAAAATGGGAGATTTTGAGATGATTTGATCTTGTGCAAGGATGATGCACTTAGTAGAAGAAGTGATAGTATTATAATTATTGAGGAAATGAGAACTACAGATAGGCCTTAGAGAAATTTATTGGAACTTACGAAGCAATTAAGTAGAATATGATAATGACTGTGGAGATGGTAGCCATCAACAGAATTGAATGGAAAAATAGGATTCATATAGCCGACCCCTAAATTTTGGGATAAAGGCATCATTATTGATGTCCTTATTGAATTTACACAATAAGCTTATCATGCTGGCCTTTAAGTAGTGATCCACTATCACTCAAAACTAATCGCAATTATACCATCTGTAAAGCTAGTTATCCCAATATTCCTCTGCCTTTAAATTGCACTGACAATCCAATAATTTGTCCATAAAGTTGTTCCTGAAGCGCTAGGAGTCGTCTGTTTTTCTTTTTTCGAATCAGGTTGAAGCCATAAAGAAGATATCTGAATATGTCGCGCAATTGAGAAGGGTCGGCAAGGGGCACGGTGAGACTTCAAATTAATCACTATGTTTTAGTACTCGTTCTATATAATATTCCTACAAGGTTTTTACATGTTCTAAATTTGCTTTGTCTGCATTTATTTATTTATTTTTTTTCTCTACAGGGGTTTGGCATTTTGATCAGATGCTTCTCCATGAAGGCGCTGCTGCTTAAGGAACAGAGTTATGTGATGATGGGTTTCCGCTTAAAAGAGTTATGCTTGTCGATAATCCTTTCGAAGTTGATGTAGTAGTAGTGTAGGTTATCTGGGTAGATAAAGAGTATGTGGGCATATTTGTATGGACTTTGTCGGTGAATCTTGCAATTTGGAAGCGGAAATGATGCGACTGCTGTTGTTGCTAGTATCTGTATTGCTTCAGTGATCATATAATGTTCTAGATTTCATCAAGGTGATATCTTATTGCTTGCATTTTTCTTTGAGGATTCTTTGTGCACATAAAAAGCATATATATCGTGTTCGCTTATGATTCATTCTAATTCTATATATCTAAACCTAGTGACATTTAGGATGTATATCTAAAACATTTAATCTCATTTTTTAATCAAGATAAATCATAATCATCTCTTTAATAAATTAAGAGTACTGAATTAAGAAGTAGATTCTCCCTTTTTTTTCCTTTTTTGTAAAATCTGCGGATGAGGATGTGTGAAAGCGAAGATCATGATTAAGACTTGCATGAACGAAACACGTATGCTATCTAAATGTTTAGTTACGCATGTCATTATCTGACGCGATTACTGAATGTGTCTTTAGCTCTCCTTTATAAGTTTTAGCAATAATTATATATATGCTAAATCTCTTTGATAAGCTCTTCAAGGGTTTAGTTGAACTCCTTGTCCTTTGTTTCGTCTGGCTGAGTGCCAGTCTTTTTAACGCACTCATTTGGTGGTATAATACTGTATCATTCTGTTATACCCCTAAAAAGTACTAAATATTAATCTCTACAGATCAATCGTCACGTGTCTTACAATATACCTAATACATCTAATTCAAGACGAAAATAATCTCCACCCAACTTGGCCCACTGTTCAACCGACATTTTGAGTGTCGGGATCAAAAGGCGGTATTTGTCGTCCAAACTGGCCAGTCGCTCTTGCGAATAACCCCCACTTGACCCGTTGTATCAACCGTCAACAGTTATAGTTGACCATCAACTGGACGACTAAAAGGTGGTATTTGTCGTCCAACCTGGCCAGTTGCTCTTGCAAATAACCTCCACTTGACCTGTTGTATCAACCGTTAACAGTTATAGTCGACCATCAACTGGACGACGAAAAGAGTCGGCAGTTTTCTTGAACCCCGCGCTAACAGCCGTCTGTCCTTACATTAAATGCTCTGACTAAGTCATCATTTCTCTAGCTCCCATAGCCTCTATGACTCATTAGACCCAGTCAGCACCGAGCACCTGCTATTATTTCCATAATAAATGACTAGGTGATTCACATCCCTCAACAACCAACACGTAGCACATGTCTGCCGACTCAGCTGTCTAGCTAGACTCGGCCCAAGTTACCTTCTTGCCTCTCAGATCCATTATAAAAATGAGAAGGAACTGCATGAGGTAACTCTCTCTCTCTCGTCTTTTTTTATAGAACTAATAGTTAATTCTATATTTCCCTACTTAAAGTCATCTACTGACTTGATCGTCGGAGGAACAACCGGAGAACCCAACTCCGACCCCTTACAAGTTCTTTCTTGTGCAGGGAAGAACAGAATACCCAAGAGCTATACATCAGAAGAAGTTAGAGGACATTAATCACTCCAAAAACCTGCAAATTATTCCCTGTTTGATAGCTAACATCAACACATTCTATTTTCTACCTCATTAATTTTTATTTATCTTGAAAATCAATAATATTCAGTCATTTTTGAAGTCAGGAAGCAATAAAAGGTAGAGCAGAACTAGCTTTTACCTTTCTCCAAAAAAAAGAAAAAAGAAAAAAAGAAGAAGAAGGAAGTTGCTTCCCTGAAAATTTAAAATTTTACTTTTGAGAATCTATTGTATAAGTTATAGTAACTTGAAAGAAACAATAGTTTATCATATTTAGTTTCTACCTGACTAAACCCTTATCCAAATATGCAATTAATGGTTATTTCAATTAAAATGTCAACAGTATATGTACAACTTTAATATTTTTGATAGGCATGAAAATAATTTTAATATTTTTCAAGGGTTATAATATGAGACATAGAAAGAATTGTAATTAGTTACAAGTATTTCTTTCAGTACACAGTTGAAGTTGCAAATGAGGTCTCTAATTTAATACAACAACTTAGACAATTGAATATACTAGGTGGGATGCATATGCATTGCATGTTGTCAGTTATCTTTTTTGTTTCTTTGGGTTTATTTCTTATAACTGTGTTGCAAAATAATTTATGGTTATCATGAAATAACTTCCCCACCTAACTAATAAATAATTGCAATAAGTGGGTTAAGCAAAGATAAAAAAGTAGTCTATGTTATATAGTGTGTATTAGAGAATCAAAAGAAAACATATTATTATGTTTCAATTCAACAAAACCATTATTGTTTCTCATGAATTGTAGTGTCTAAACACATAATTTGAAGGCTAGAAATGGACAAACAAATATATTGTTACCTATAGTTTTATTTGTACTAAATCGCATTGTAAGAAGAATAGGAAATCCATGGGAAATTTAATTAATTTTAGAATTTAGAAAGGGCAAAATTTCGAAATGAGAGCGCTAAGGCGATTGGAGAGGCGAAAAGGAGGCGTCCGTTCCCAGGCGGCAGTACCACCATCCAGGCGGCGTTTGGTCAACATCATCAACGGTAACATCTCTGTCACTCCTCTCTCCCCTGTCTTACCGCCCACAGTTCCTCCGCCAGTGGTTTCGCAACCCTCCCCACCACCTCCATCCTATTCCAAAATCGCTTGTTTTCCTCATCCTCCCAAGTCAGTTCCGCCCCTCTCAGCCTGTGGTTCCTCAGCCTCTCCCATCTCAGTTAGAGCCCCCCCTAAGCCCAAGAGCCTTCAGAAGCAGCATGCAATACCTATAGCAAAGCCTTTCTCTTCCTTTGCAGACCTCTTCAAAAACCTCCATACCAGTCATTCTCCTCTTCGTAAGCCTTTCTCTCGTTTCGAGGGCATTCTTCCTCTTCCAGATCCAGGCTGGACCACTGTTTCATACAAAAAGAAAGCTAGAGTCCCCCAGCTTGCAGCTCCTTCAGCCCCCCGCAAACCACCTAGGTGCTATCTCTGCAGAAGCCCATCCCACATGGCCAACCTATGTCCTGTCGGAGATTTCAAATGTTTCGCTTGTAACAGAGTGGGGCATACCTCTAAAAACTGCCCTAACAGGTTTAACCCCCCTCCCCCCATTTTGTCCCCGCCTCTTTCCCATCCACCTTCTCTCTTCATTCCGAACATAGATCTGCCACCTTCGGTGTTGGCAAACGTTGAGGAATACTCCAACTATGGGTTCTTTGAAGTCCAAATGGGGAACCCCTCCGTTGCAGAGCTTATCGAAAATTTGGAATTTCATTTTAATGTGGAGAGATGGTCTTACAAGATCAGACGCATCTCACCATCCTCCTTCTTCATTCAATTTCCCAAAGAGGAAACCCTCTGCCTAGCTTGTGGCAAGGACTTCTTTGATATGGGAACCTTTGGAGGAGTCTTCACTCCTTGGACTGAAAACAAGGGTCTTAAAGCTATCCCCATCTCTGTCTATATCTGGGTTCAGATTTTGGATCTCCCTCTCCACCTATGGGATCCTGATTTTCTCATGAAGCTATTTGAGGAGGTTGGAGATGTTATTTCAGTTTCTGACGATGTCCTTCTTAAAGCTAACGCCAAGGACTGCAAGGTTATGCTTCTAGTTAAGGAAGCTGGCGAGATCCCAAGATCTATTACCTTCAGATATAACTCCCCAGATGGTATTCATATCATGGTAGGCGAAGTAAAGCTTCGCATTGTCGGGAAGCCTTTATCGGACAAGAAGGGCAAATGTAGAGAATACTTCGAGCATTTTGTCAGCAAGGAAGGGTTATCTTCATCCCCATCAGACACTCCAGCCAGTCTTCGCCATACATCATCAGAAGCCAACCGTCCCTTAGTTGAAGCTCCTACCATCTCTCCCCATCATCTCTCCCCCGTAGCTCCTCCGCTAGTCTCTCAAGGCGAATTACCTAGAGAGGCTCCCCCCAGTTCGGCAAGTCCTCCTCTGACTCAGCCAGCTCAGCCATCAGTGGATATGATAGAGGTGATCTTCAAAGGGGTGCCTCTGCAAATTGCTAAGGAATCCTGGCTCCGCCTTTCAGTATCATTTCCATCTCCATCATCAGTCGCACCAGTGCCGGTTTTCTCTAACAACCAGACCCCCCGGTGCCTTTATCCAGCTCCTCAGATTCTCTGGACGTCGCTTCGTCATCCGCTCCTCCCCCGGGCTTTGAACACATCAAGAAGTCCTCAAAGAAGAAGACCTCGAAAAGACATCTCTCTCTGCTGCCATATAGGAAACACCTAGCCATTATGAGGAAGAGTACTCAACCAGGAGGTAACAAGGGAAAATCTCAACCTTCTGCTTTTTCCTCTTCTCTTAATAGCATAGAATATATTCATGGTATTGCTATTAATTGTGGGATAGAGGAACCTATTGACCGTGCTAGCCTGCTTGCCATTCAATCTCTGGACAATGTAGAGAAGAATAACCACTAATATCGGTGGTCATTCAAGTTGTTGGTTGCTTAATCTTATCTGTTATGAAGGTTGGATCCTGGAATGTTAGAGGGTTGAACAACCCTATTAAAAGGAGATTAGTGAAGGGTAATATTCAGTTGGCCAATCTAGATCTGGTAGGTCTTCAAGAATCAAAGCTTAACTCCACCTCCTCTAGAGTACTTAACAGTTTGAGCTCTAATAACAACTTTTCTTGGATTTCCTTAGATGCTATTAAGTCTAGAGGTGGCATTCTTCTAGGTTGGAGGAACTCTTCTATCTCATGCTCCTCATCTAGCATTGGGATCTTCTGTGTCACTGCATGTTTCACTCTCCTTAACTCTAACTGGTCTTTCGTGGCAACCTCAGTGTATGCCCCTCATGATAACTCTGATAGAGAAGTTTGTTGGTGGGAACTCTCTAGATTAAGATCTTCTATTTCCTTACCCTGGGTAGTTTTTGGTGATTTTAATATGACCCTAAGCCTAGACGAAAGGAGTGGTAGATCAGATTCTTTGAGAGATATTTCTCTCTTTAAGGATCTCATTGATTCTCTGCAGCTCATTGATCTTCCTATGAGTGGTAGGAAATTCACATGGTCTAATCAAAGGTCTAACCCTTCTCTTGCTAGACTCGATAGATTCTTCATATCCCAAGACTTCGAAACAAAATTCCCCTTCCTTATTCAATTTGCTTACCAATCTCCATGTTCAGATCATTGTC